ACCACAAACAAACACACATGGACACTTGTCTCAGCAAACAAATGGAATTTATTATTGTGTAACCACACTCGAAGCAAATGGAAAGACAATTTAAACCCTTGCTACCACAAGCTAACAAGAGCTGGGGATAAAAAGAAAAAGTCATGGACAGAGAAAGGAGTATGTATGGTCAAGCAGTCATTGTCAAATTGTAACCCGTTGACGGTTAACTAAGGGTGCCACCCTGCAACATACTCTAAAATTAGGAAATTACTACTGCCTTCAATTATTTTTGACTTATCACACATTTATCTATGAGACCTATTATTATTGGAATCAAAGGTGACTGCAGAGAAAATGACTCAGATAAAAGGACAATTCAAAAAGGCAAGGTGGATTTAGTTTTATTGGGTTATGGCAATTACTTGTGACTTCTAAGCATGTTCTGGTATTAAACAAAATGTTGTGAAAGCTGGAAGTTGGCTGGAGATCTATATCTAAGTGAGTAGAGTGCCTGAGGCCAGTGTGCACTCAGCCTGCGTTTCAGTCCCCAGCATGATATATTTAAGATGGAATTCAAATGCTTTTGATCCCAGCACTTGAAGGGTAGAGACAGGAGGATTGTAAGATCAATACTATTCTTAGGTACATAGCAAAAGTGAAGCTTTCCTGGCCTACATGAGACTGTCACGAAAACAAAAGAAAAAAGCTACTGAATGGCAATCTGTTAATTATGCTATATTTGCAAATATCAAAGTTATCTTAGTTATTCTTGCTTTGGTGCTTTCAAGTTTGAAGAGATAATTATCAGATTAATACAAAAAAAACCCTAAATGATTACTGTGCATACAATAGGAATTGAACAGGAATCTGTCTCACAATTTAAAGTAGCAAAAAGACAGAACAAAATTAAGAGACGAGCCAAGTTTCTTCCCATTTAGTGACCCAATGGGAGCCTCCAGGTCCAGGTGAAGGGTCAATACTTTTACAAAAGTAACTTCTAAGGCCATCTTACAGTGTTCAAGATAGACTTCAGGGAGAATGGTCTTCTTAAAGGCAATGGTTGCCACTGGGAGAACAGTCTAGATCTACAAGTTCAGGGAAGGGCTGCCATGAGATATTTGTGTGGTCCCTGAAGTTTAGAAGAAATTTGGGCCTTGAAATGTTCCCAGAAATATAGTTTAAAACTTTTAAGTGTATCTAATAAACTAAACTTCAAAGAGTTAATGCTTCTTCATATAGTTTTATACAATAACTCTTATTCTAATATTCCTTTGCTAGTCTTTTGTCATTTGTGTTTGTATGTGTTTATGTGTATTCATAGGTGTTGGAGATCAAGGGTTGAACTAAGGTGTTTTCCTTAATCGCTCTACATTATTTTTGAGACAGAGTATTTCACTAACCTAGACCTTGTCCATTCTTCCAAATAGATTTTTAAGTTACTTTATATGAATTTGTTTTAACTACCAGTGAATTTATTATCCCTCTAGTGAACTGAAGCTTTAAAAAGTAAACTACCAGGGCTGTGTAACAAAATATTAAATATTAAAGCAGTAGTCCTATGATTAAAAACAAGACCTATGGACTTTTGTAGCATGGAGATTACAGGCAAAGACCACCTCCTCTAGCCCTCGCCCCTTCAGTTTTTTATGTCAATGCCCTGATCATTGAACTCAGATTCTCATACTTGCATCATGAGCACTTTACCAACTAAGCCATCTCCCTAGCTTTTATATAACTTTTACTGTGATTTTTTAGAAATTTTTATATTGTGTGTGCAGGGCATGTAGAGAATGTATTTGTCAAGAACATATTTCTATAATTGTCAAATAAACTTTTCTAGTAAGTTGAAATTTAAATGGAGTCAGTTCCAAAGTAATTACTGTTGTCAGTAGTGGTGGTAATGGTTTTATTTTTGCACTGCTAGGATTGAACCCAGGGCCTTGTGTAACCTAGGCAAACACTCCACCACTAAGATATATTGTATCACTCCAAAATGATTTTTAAAAATCACTTCAGAATTCATCATTGGAGCCAAAAGAATCTTTGAGTAAAATCTTAACTACTTTCAAGTTTAGTTATTATGGTTACATTTCAAAAACTTGTATTAAGAGTATGTTACATACATTTAGAGTTCATTTAGTAATTCAAGGTCCTTATATAGGAAGTTTCCCTCTATATTCAATCTCCACATATAAACTGTATGTTTGGTCTTGATTCCTAAACTTTGGTGTGTGATTTGTCTTTTGCAGCAGGTAAATGCTGTGTGCCATGCTTTCACCACACCTCCAGTCATTGGTCTGATAATGCTGTGAGTCAGTCTACACAAAACAAGAAGCACCTATCAAACTCCTGGCAGGGTTAGTTCACATTAAAATGCATGCTCAATTGTAGAGATTGTCAAGTGTGGAGATAATATTTGTCCAGCTGGACAGCTTTCTTTTGTAGTTGCTAAATGAAAGTTGAGGTTCTGTCTGCTCCTTGAAAGCTTCTGTGTCATGAACATAATTTGGACGGTTTGTGGTTTGACAGGAATTATTAAAATCAGACGAAGTGAAGGGAAGCAAAAGTGAGAAAGCAAAATTGACACTGACACTCTCTATTACCCGTAGCTTGCATCATGATGGCTATGTTGATATGATAGATTCACTGTTGGGGTCTGTTACGAAGCCAATAAAGTAAAAAGCAAGTTTAGTGAAGAATTTTAGATTTAACTTGAAGACATCCAACACCGATTTTCAATTATTGCTTTTTAAATAAATTTTCAAGTTGCTTCATATTAATTTGTTTTAAATATCAGTGAATTATCCTTCCAATTATCCTTGCCAAGCTGCCAAGACTGTGTAACAAAATATTGACTATTAAAGAGGTGGATCACATAATTAAAATCAGACAAGTGCTTGGAGTTATTTTTTCTAGTTTTATTTATTTATGGATGGAAACTATTATCTTTAACTTCTATTCAATAGCTTAGATATTAAATTCTGATTTTCACTATAGGTATATTTAAAAATAATGCTTAAAATTTTTAAAGCAATTCAAATTGATTTAATTCACAATTGTAGATAGCCTTTTTCTGTTTAAACATAATACACAAATTCTGTTACTATAGTTATATGTTTTCTTTAAGTAATCTACATGATAGGATAAATACCTTCTATAGATAAAATTTTCTACGCCGGGCATTGGTGGCGCATGCCTTTAATCCCAGCACTCGGGAGGCAGAGGCAGGTGGATCTCTGTCAGTTCGAGACCAGCCTGGTCTACAAGAGCTAGTTCCAGGAGTTCCAGGACAGCCTCCAAAGCCACAGAGAAACACTGTCTCAAAAAACCAAAAAACCAAAAAAAGAAAAAATAACAAAAAAAGAATTTTCTATAAAAAACATCCTTTTATCAAAGAGAGTTATAGTAGACAAATATAAATAAATATGAAGAAATACCTATCAAATAGAGAGACTGGTCATGCTGTGAACTAGCCCTTATGCAAGGTCAACACAAATTGGGTGTCCTTCAATTCAGTTCATTTCCATCCTAACATTGACTGCCTAGAATTCAGCATGTCCCTTTAAGACTTCCCTAAGTTGATGTTATTTCAAGGAGACACAGTCTCACAGCAGATTTCCTGGTCCTCTGGCTTTCAGAATCTTTCTGCCCCCTCCTCATCAATGTTCTCTGAACCTTTAGGTGCAGGATTTGTGTTGCAGACATATCAGCTGGGACTGAGTACACCACTGCCACGTTTTCTTTGGTTGTAACTAGTAGTGGTTTTCTATTATTGTCCTCATCTGTTGAAGGGTTTTTTTTTTCAAGCTTGGTACTGGAGTTCTTGTTTAAAAGTTCCATGGCTCTTGCGGGGAGCATTGTCAGCCCAAGTGGCTTAACTTGACTTAACCTATATCCATGATACCTTACTTAATGGTATGATACCTGGACAAGCACAACAATAAACATGTTGACACAAATAGGGAAATCTCACAGGGACCCACACTTAAACAAAGAACTACAGGCAATAAAGGAATTCAAAGAGTGGAAGAAATAGTTTTCCTCAGGGATGAGTCCCCTGATTGGATTAGCCAATATATACTAATTGATAAACCCTGAAATTATATGCATATAAGTAACACTGAATGGTGTGAGCATGATGTACTTAAATATTTATGCATATGTAAATGTGTATGCTTGTGTGTGAGTGTCTTTGTGCCTCTGCATGTGTGTATGTGTGCACGTATGAGTATGTAACAATAACAAAAATGGTCAGTAATTTGAGAGGACTCTCATAGAAAAGGTTGGATGAAGGGAAATGGAGCAGAGAAGTGATACAATTATATTTTAACTTTAAAAATTTCCTTTCAGATGTTATCTGTGGTAATTCCAGATGACCCATACTTCAGAACAGCCAAATTGAAATACAAATGTTCCTATAATTCTCCCCCAGACTAAATAACAAATGTCCCAAGAATTACCTAAGAGGCACACTTCCAGGTGTGTCTGTGATGTCAGTTCTAGAAAGATTTAGTTAAGTAGGGAAGACCCAGATTGAATGTTGATAATCTCCTATGACTGGGGATCCCAACTGAATAAAAACAAAGGAGATGGGGAGCTGAGTGTCAGCATTTGTCTCTCTCTGCTTTCCAGGTCTGAATATAATATCATCTACTACCTCATGTTCTATCCCCCATCGCTTTCCCACCTGGACATACCATCTCCCCTCAATCCAAAGTCAGGATTTTCTTCCCCTAAATTTCCTTTAGGTGGTAATCTGTTGAACCAATGAGAAAAGTTACTAATATAGCTTGTAATGATCAAAAAGGACACAACATGGGAATGGTCAAATGAAAAGGGTAACTATGATAAAATAAGGTTTAGGATTGTGTCATAGTTTCTATGTGTTCTCAATACATGGATATCTTATTCAACTTGACAGCTCCCTGAACATCTATGCCATTATATAGACATGATTGATTAAATCCTTGGCTATGGGTGACTGAACTCAATTTAAAATGCATTTATCTTCCTTGGAGGTTGAAGACAATAGGAGAAGAAGGGGATGCTGAAAGTACCAAGCCACTTGTTCTGGTGGATAGTTCCCATTCTGAAACCTTCTAGGGGGCTATCAAGAATCACCTTATTGGAAGAAATTCAGGCATGAATAACAAAAGACACTTGGAAGATTCCAACAGTATTTGTGCTCTCTGCCAGAAAGGAAAAAGAGAACGAAACCCAAGTAATTATTTTATCCAGAGGTATGATGAATCAGTGATACCAGATGTGAAGTTCTTCCTTGGTTTTCTGCATGAAATAGCAGCTATATTTGGGATCATTGGAAGGACACAGGGGGAGAAATGAACCTTGAGAATACTCAGTGACTTTTCTAGACAGAACTGTGTGACTTTTTCTTTTAAAGCTGTCCAGATAGCAAATTCTTTAGAATTCGGACCTCATACAGCTTTGTGGCATATTCATTTTGCTTCGTATTTTATCTTTTAAAACAGCACATTGGTGATATAAAAGCCATTCTTAATTAAGATCATTAAAAAACAGGTTGCATAGATTTTTGATGCCAAATTAAGGGCAAAAGACAGACATTATGTAGGTGATGTGCTTGTAAGGTAGGAAGAGAAGTCACTTTAGGAAATTACTTTGAGTTGATTTATATCTATACAGCTATCTAGAACAAAGATTTGGTGCAAATGATTAAAAATACCTGTTGAAGGACTAGAGACAGAGGTTCAGTCCTTGGACTTTCAGCAGGATGAAGCTAATTGAAAAAAGTTACCTAATCAAGGCATGTAGAACAAAAAGAGGACTGCAAACTCCAGCATGAAATGAGCAGGGGGAAAGATGCTTCCATAATAGAGGAATTAAGATTTTCAGAAATTATGCAATGAGGACCATAAATTTTTAAAAAGTCTTTGCAGAAAATATTGTAAATATAAATAAAACATAAATAAAAACAGAGCAGACAAACACAATAAATCTATTAAAGGGAAATTACCAAAACCAGCAGTAGTTTTATCTGCCAACACTCAGTAAACGTGTTTAAAGTAAGAAATAGGTATATGGAGGGAACACTGCTTTCTTACATTTTATTGGTTTCGCATTTATGGATACCTTTAACAATAAAGAGAATTTCATATTATGTAGTACAAGTTGAGTTTTCAGAAACTAAGAGCAGAAGGAATGGGGCAGTTTGTATCTTTATGGACAGATACAGACAGTTTGGTATGATAGCAGGATAAGGAAATGGTTACCATTTATCTCCAATAGACGAGGTGTGCTGAGCAAAGCCTGGGTGCTAGAAGCTTTTGTGTCTGTGACTTCAGAGGTCAGCAGCTTCCTTTCCTCCTGTTCCAGGGCAGGCACCCCTGGAATTGAAGATTCATGACCTACTTCAGAGAAATATTCTGTGGCCCACTTTAGGGGAGGGGAGTAGGAAGGGAATCTGAGAGGTGTTTGAGTTTAATTATTTTCTAAAGGGAAAAGTGCACCCTAAAGTTCATCATAAACCTAAGGAATATCAATGTGTTTTGGCAGAGACAAGAAAGGTGGCAGCAATCAAGAGACTTATTAGCTTATATGAACCCCTGTTGCTCATCAAAAATAAAGTCACTGTTTGGTAGTGGAGCACTGAGAGGATTTATTGTGCATCCCATAAAATGAAAATAAAACTAAACAATTCAAGGGCGGGAACTGCTACTCTAGGGGCGATAGCCTATAAGACCCCTGTGCTTTCTTTTAGAATGCCAGAGCTAGATAGATAGGTATGTCCCAGCAATTTCCCATATTTGCCTTCATCCTAATAAATATGATAATATTTATTATATATGTGATGGTCTGACACTGAAGAGGTTGGTCATGAGTAGGCAAGCTGTCTTTCAGAACCCGCTTTATATTGGCTCTTCATGTCAGATCAAAACGAAGTTAATTGGTAAGGGTTATCCTTGAAGGAGCCTGTGAAACAATGCTATAACAAACAAGAAGAGAGTTAGGAAGGCATGTTTAGTAAACTGTCAAGACAAGAGACTGCTTCACTTTTAAGTAGACATCAGTACCATGTAGACTAAGTATGGCAGGAACTGTAAAATATCCTGTCATTTTTGTTATAGGAGTAGAGGCAAAAACCAGATAGATTGCTCAAGGTTTAGATATGGTAAAAGCACGTGGTAGGAAATGCATAGCTGTTAAAACAAAACAAAATAAACAAACCAAACCAAAATGATACAAACAAACGATTGGATATGAACTGAAAGGTTCCCAAAGATTTTGTTTGTGTGTTTCTAAAGAACAGCGACCTTAAAACGTTCATAATCAGTTCGAAGTGATACTCAATGAAATAAAACTAGTGATGATTCATGAATCAAAGCCCTAGAAATCATAAAGAGTACTCAAATAAATAGACCTTTTCATCTAATGAATGCTAAGCTAATTAACACTAGTACTGGTGCTTTAATATCACCATTCTGAATGGCTAGCTAATTAATGTTATTAATAATTTAATAGGCATTATTCTGAATGGCCAGCTAATTAATGTTATTAATAATTTATGGGAAATTCTTAAACTTTTGAACCACACTTAATATCCTAAATCCTTTAGAAGCACCCATTTCCATGCAAAGTATGTGTTATGTCCAAATCCTAATTATCTAATTATTACAACATAATTCCTTTAAATTGTAATTAATGTCTCAAAAGCTGTTTTGAATTATTCCCAGTTGTGGCATGGTACAACTGCTTTTTTAAAGTGCCCCCAACTTAAGTTTTATATTAATTGACATGTTCTTTTCTAAATTAATTTTACTGTACTTGAAAATTCATTATCCCTATAACTCATAACACTATTTGTCCTAATGAAAAAATATATAATAATTTTATGACTTTGAAATTATGAGATATCTGAGTAATCAAGAATGATAAAACGTATTTTTATGTTATCTTGGTTAACTCTTCTTTTAAAGCCAGAAATAGCTGGGATTGCATATTAAAGATTATACAATTAAAATGAAACTTTAATTTAATGAAATTTATTAAATAATTTATTAAACAATTTAATGAAATGTTAAAAATGAAAATATTTCATAGGAAAAGAAGTAAATTGAAAAATACAGCAGTGCCACTTTTAGTGACTGAGTTATGTATCTTATGAGAGATAATTCTGTTTGCTTGCTAAGCTGTAGTGTGCTTTCTGACTGACTTGGTTTGTAGTCAGATATTTCTTTGGGCTGCCAGCTTCCAAATAACCACCTAGAGTCTTTTATTAATTATGAAAGCTCAGTCTTAACTTAGGCTTGTTTTACTAGCCCTTAGAACTTAAATTAGCCTGATTTTATTAATCTACATTTTACCATGTGGCTTTTGACCTTTCTTTCATTCTGTATGTTCATCTCCCACCTGTAGAGGTATCTAGCCTTGCCAGTGTATTTGTGTTAGTGGCCACACCCCTTTGGGCATGGCTTCAGGTGTGGACAGAACCAGAAAGAGGAAAGCATGAGGTGGGGCCAGCTGTCTTGTGCTTTCTCTCTCTTGGGTCATGGATTGGATCAGAAGGGCAGAGAAAGGAGGGGAGGTTCTTTATTATTATCTGTGTAAGTTGTTCCTCAATAAAACACCCATTTGTCATTTATCTTTGGTCTAGTGATTTCCTTATTTCCCCACCTTCACCCCCATGTCTCCTAGGTGACTCCTCCTCCTCTGTACGTTATCTCCTACTTCATCTCTCTGCCCACAAGTCCTGCCTGTATCTTCTGCCTAGCTATTGACTGTTTAGCTCTTTATCAAACCAATCACAGCAATATATCTTCACACAGTGTGCAAATATCCCATAACACCTGTCAATTTCTACTTCATATGCACACATATATAAATTGTTAGTAGAGGGGGTACAGTGAAGGGTTTTCTTTGTTTGTTTGGTCTTTTGGGGGTGTAGTTGAGGCAGGATCTCTAGTCTATAGCTCACTATGTAGACCATCCTCATCTTGAACTCACAGAGATCCATCTGCTTCTCCCTCCTGAGTGCTGGAATTAAAGGCCTATGCTACCACACCTGGCTTTTCGAGCTGTTTTTTTTTTTCTTTTTTTTTTTAAGCATTAATGTATCTTGTATGACTGTTATATGTTAATATGAATACTTAACCAGATTCAGATCGACATTTTGGAACATATATAATGATCACTACTTTTGTAATTGTTATCAGAGCACATGATAGTTTTTAAAGGAATATCTACTGTGTGGATAAGAATTGACAAATTATATTTATGCATTTAGTAATATCTGTGTATACACATATATTTGTATACATCTGTGTAACAACAATATGAGGTCATGAATTTGAAAGAAAATAATGAGGGTATATGGGAGGGTATATGAAGGGAGGAAGGGAGGGAGAAATGGTATAATTATATCATAATCTCAAAAAATAATTTTTTTCCAGACAGGGTTTCTCTGTGTAGCTTTGGAGCCTGTCCTGGAATTCACCCTGTAGATTACACTGGCCTCAAACGTACAGAGATCCATCTGCCTCTTGAAGATGGATGTTTCTGTCCTCCTGGTCCCATAGCCGCTTTCCCCCAAATAAACACACAAAGACTTATATTAATTTATATACTATTTGGCCAATGGCTTAGGCTTCTTACTGGCTAGCTCTCTCTTAATTATTAACCCATAACTACTAATCTATGTATTTCTACATGGCCTTATCTTACCAGAAAATGCCTGGCATGTCCTATCTTCTCAGTCTCTACATGGCATCTCCTTGAGGCCTCCCTCTGCCTTCCTCCCCCCAGCCTTCTCCTGGTCTGCTAGCCCTGCCTATGCTTTCTGCCTGGCTAGTGGCCAATTAGTGTTTTATTCATCAACCAGAAAGAGAAACAAATATACAGAAGGACATTCCCAATCAGCCTCTGCTTCCCAAGTGCTGGGATTAAAGGTGTGCCCCACCACCACCCAGCAAAATAACTTTTAAATAGAGAAAATAAATTTAATGGAATAATGAGCTGTTTTGGTTTTCTTTTCTTTTTTATATAATCCTTTATTAACACTTTGGAAATTTCATATCATGCACCCCGGGCCCCGCTCATTTCCCGGTCCCTTTATATCTGCCCCACACCCCTGCAGCATGCCTCCCCCCAATTTAATTCAAAACAAACCAAACAAACAAGCAAAAAAAAAAAATCCCTGTAGCACAAATTCTAATTGGTCTTAATAATAAAAACCCAGAGTCAGATATAGGGGGTGGGAAGCTAAAAG